CTCTAATAATATCGAATCCGGTCCTTGAATCGAATAGTATGCAGATGATGAAGCTGCTGGATGCGGCGGAGGAGACTCACAGTGAGCTTGGAGTATTGTGCAGGAGTATCAAAACTCAAAAGGAACCTGGAACGGATGGGAGATGGAAGATGGCAGTTCATATACAGAGAGGCGAACAAGGCGGCTCATACTATGGCGCATATAGAGACTCGATGGGAGGAGAGTATTGTTTGGCTTGATAGACCACCAATGATTATCTTGGATCAACTTCTCGTGGATGATGTAACCTCACTTTCTCATTAATAAAATTGATACAGATTTCGATAAAAAAAATTGGCCTAGTTCAAACAATGATGATGAAGCCCAACCCTTCTTTATGAAAAATTTACTTCCCTTTGAAGCCCAATCCAATCCCACTACTCATATTAACCTAGTACCCTTTCCCTTATTTTTGGAATGTATAACGCTATCTCACCTTTTGTCGTCTTCTTGCGACTAAATAAATAATTGCAACCACGAATAAAATACGAAATGCGTGTATGGTACACTGGAGCTAAACCCAAGTTGGGGGGTTTTATTACTTTAAATAATTATGTGCATTAATTAATAGATTTAATTAGCGATGTTAATTGTAAAAGATTATTGGTCAAATGTAGCAGGCGTACATGCACCTTCCAAGCTCCATGAGTTGGATCAACATTTTTTTAACTAAGTGGGGCCTGTATAACACGCAATTAATTGAAGTTAATTATTTTCAAGTGGATGGTTTTAGCTTTAGATTAAGATAATAATGGGGAATTAATTCCCGTGATATTAAATTAAGAAGATGAGCCTCCATTTGGCACTAAATCGCTTAATTAATCGAGAAAGCAGCTTCCCAGGTCAAGTATAAAAATCCAAGAACCCCATATATATGTTCGTGCACCAAAATATTATTGTGTGCTTAATACATGATTAAGGTCGTAGGGGTGGCACTTATCCCGGTGTAGAGCTCCTTTTGCAAGTTGATTATATTGCTCTAAGAATGTTTTTTAATAAGGGTGATATAGATTTGATTTTTATTATTAAGGTACTATTTAAGCGATTTGAATTTGAGACCTTCGGGTTCTAGGCTAGTGGTATTATCGCTAAGCCAAGTTCTTAATCGTTGCTCTATGGATATTTAATTTGGGACTTTTCTAAGTATGTGTTTTTTGTGCACTAGAGCTGGGAATGAAGATTGGGTAAGTGGGGTGGGGTATGTCGATATCTATACCCGCTCCATGACGGGTCTGATATAAATTGGGTTATTTATCATGGTTTATCGATCGAGATAGGTCAACCCATATGTATATGTAACTATGTACTTTAAGCGAAAAATATTAAAAATATTCATTTTTCATAAAAAAATCAAGAAACAAATTACAACAATGAATATAGTAAATTATTTAAGAAATTGAGATTCTTTTTTTATAAAGTAGTGAGATTCTCACCTATTTAAAACTCTATCATAGCTAAAATATACGGTAATACATGTAAAATGCTAAGCAATTTGAGTAAAGTACATATAATTTAGATAAGCATGGGTAAATCGAGTCAAATAAAAAAAAATTATTTCTCGCTCAAGAAGTTATAGAAAGAAGATGAGGTTAATTTTACTTTATGGAGAGATACTAATTCGGCAATTCCTACTTAGCCTGAGGAGGTGTCTAGCTGACTCTTTCTAAGATGAACATGTATAAATCTTCTTCAAAATCACTTTCTTGCCTCTTAAACTATTAATGGGAAGAAGCCGACTCCTTAGCATTTTTATTTTATCCAAACCTATTAAAATGCTATTAATTATCTAAATCTTTCGTAAATAATTAAAATATTAACCATTTTTACGTTATTGTTAATAATTTTGTAACTCTTTTCTTAGTTAAAATACTAAAATTTTGTAATGTTGACATTTATGTGTCTCTTCCAAATCAGTATCATGTTGCCAAGTCAATATTCCTCACAAAATTGCTAACTGAAAGTAAACATTTAGTTAATTTTTAGTATTTTGATAGGTTTGGCTAATAAAAAAGAATCCAAAAAAGATTTGGATAAAAAATAGACATTGCCCTAAAAATAATTATCCACATACACGTTTGTTATCAAGGGCTTAGGATACTGACCTATGAGTAACTAAATCTGAACTTTAGATCTAAGTAGATTCAGAAAATTCAGATATAAGAGTTGTAAATTAAAGACATTTTATTTTTTCTAGTTTTCTTAATCGGCTCTTATCTTCTTCGTTCTAACTCGGATTTCAAATTTTTTTGCACAGATGGAACGAGTTCGTTGTACTCTACAAAATGAGATCAATTTCAATATATTTCGAGAATTTTTTTTTACCAGCTACATACCATACGGTAACTTCTTCGTTTTTAAGTCGTTTTTAAAACGTTTGCTCAGAAGGAATGAGTTCATCATGATCTATTGGATCTATAAATTTCTGGGTGAAAAAAAAAACTGGATAAAAAATTACCATACTTTACCACTATAGTATGTGGGTGGTAACTTGTAGTACATTGTAGTAAACAATGATGAAAGTCGTAAATGATAGTTAGTATACTCCTACTATCATGTATTCAACCTTTTTACCATATTGGTATGTTCATATTATCATGGTACACTTTCTTACCATATGGTATTAAATAGGAGCATACCATATGGTAATGACTGGTAAAAACTTATTCAATTTTTTTGTACTAAAAATATATTAAAGTGGATATCATTTTAAAGAGCACATTTAATCTGATTTATCTGTGCAAAAAAAATTAAATTTCGACTTAAAACAAGAGAGAAATCGTCCGCTAAAAATTAAAGAGAAAAAGATAAAAGACTTTCTAGGAGAAAGATGATACTGATGTCATGCTGATGTGGACAGATTACTCATGGTTTCTGACCATAGAGTTACTGACCTAATGCGTTCCCGTTACGAAAGGCCTAGTATGAAACGTAAAATGCTGACATATATAGGGTAATTAGCATAAAAGGTCACAAACCTATTCACTTTGTACAAAATGGTCACAAATCTTTAATATTGCACGTTTCAATAACAAATGTTTGGACTAATAACGAAAAGGTAATTCCGTTCTATCTCCATCCAAAAATCCGTTACTTCCGTCCAGTCAGCACGCCACGTCATCTAAAATATTGATAAAAAATTAATAATCAAACCCAATTGAATCGGTCAACCCAACCTGAAAATTCTAACTCCATACCCACCCACCCGAAATCTTCGAGACAGACACACTCTGTCACTTTCCTCCCTAAAATGGTACAACCATACCAAATGTCATACACAAAAAGTTAACATTAGGGTATTTTGTGCTAAAATCATAATTCTACAGTGGTTTAATCAGCCTTGACACGTTGCTCCAACCCGAGCATCAATTTATGTTCAGAAAAACCAAAAATTGTAAAGCCATTCCTAAGGTCATACCAAAAAAGTTAGTATTAGATTACTTTGTGCTAAAATTGTAGTTCAACATTGGTTAAAATCAGGCTTGACAGTTGCTCCAACCCGAGCTTCAATGTACATAGAAAATCCAAAAATTGTAAAACCACACCAAAGGTCGTACCCATAGAGTTAGCAATATGATATTTTGTACTAAAATCATAGTTCAGTCGTAGTTAAACCAGACTTGAAACGTTGCTCCAACCCGAGCCTTGATGTATATTCCGATCATACCAAAAATTGTAAAATCATATCGAAGATCGTACAAAAAATGTTAGAATGAGGACATTTTATGCTAAAATCGTAGTTCTATCGTGCTTAAATCATTACATACAGCTAAAATCACCTATCACGTTAAATTCTGTTAGGAATTTCTATTATACTGCTGCTAAACACGGTCATAAATCAAATACGGATTAGTAAACAATTCTCCTAATCCTATCAAAAGCCACAGTGAAGCGCGGCCATAATCTACCTAGTTATATATTAACTTTGCATCCATCTATCTCAACACTCTTGGCTTCCAATTTGATCAAAAAAACCAACATGGCGCCATCACTAATTACCTACATTCTCCTAGCTCTCCCCTTCATCCTAGCCTTCCTTGTCCACAACCGCAAGAAAATTAGGTCGAACCAGGCTCGTCTCCCACCCGGCCCGACCGGTCTTCCCTTCATCGGAAACCTGCTCCAGCTTGATCCCGCCGCCCCTCATCGCTATCTATGGCAGCTCTCCAAAAAACACGGCCCCTTGACTTCCCTCAGGCTCGCTTCTGCCCGTGTCGTCGTCGCCTCCACCGCCGAGATGGCCCAACAGGTGATGAAATCTCAGGACCTCATCTTCTGCAGCCGGCCAACCGCAATCGGCACGCTGAAGCTGTCCTACGGCGGCAGCGGCGGATCCAGGATTTAGTAGAGCACTGGGCCGCATTTGAATAAAAAATTTGATATCGTAAAAGAAATATTATAATAATAACTAAATTTTTTGTTATAATGTCAATTATAAACGATGATTTTTTAGTTTAGCAAATTCATCAATAATAGAGTCTCCGTCCATACCAATAACATATTCTTATAGAAAATAGTTAAAAAATCAGCGAGAAATTCATCGCACATTCTTTTGCGCAAATCAATTTTCGCATGTTCCACTACTGAAAATGTTCTCTCTATTGTAGTCGTCGAAACGGATAACATCAATAATGTCTTTGCCTTTTTATTTGGTGCTTGAGAATATGCCATTATAAAGTATCTTCAAATCGACATAATAAAATATAATAGATTAATTATATACATTCAAGTTTCTAATTGACTTTATGATTCTAATTCTAAAGTATCTTCAAAGGTAAGATAGTCTAACGGTAAAGCTGCCGCGACAGTGAAGGGTTGGGAGTTGCAGATCGCAGGTTCGAGTCCAAGCGAGGCCCGTTGGTGTTCCCGGAGGTATAAGGCTGCTGGGAGCGAAGTCCCGTTGGCGTCGAATGTAATTGCAGGTGGCCCTCAGGTTTAGTAGGACTAGCTGTCACAAAGTGACACGTACGGCTGAGGTTCCTGAGTAATTAAAATATATATGAAAAGGAAAAAACAATACTCTTTTTTATTGTTAAAAATAAAAAATTTAGCAATAAACTAATGCATGGTATCTAATGGGCTAACCGCTAACCATAAAATAAAAGAGTTGAATAGGCCTGACCTACATGGGATTTGGCCATCAAGTAAAACAAATGAACATCATTGGTTTGTCATTCTAAAACAAGCTATTTTCTCTGGCATAATATATATTATGCTATTATTTTATATCTTAGTGGCTAAAATATAATGTATTTTAAAGTTATTCAATGGTTTAACCTCGACCAACCCGATTAGTCCAATTTTTATCATTTCAAATATATATTTTATAATTATTTGACATCATAATGATCAAACTATAGTGTATTTTATAGGGAATCGTTTGGTATTTATTAGTAAAAAACTAAACATAAAGATCTATTTGGTTATTTTAAACATTAAAACGATCCTAAACATTTTTAGTTCCTTTTGAATTTTTATGGTTTTATTCCCGAATAAGTTATGTGCAAATGACGAATTGTAGTCGTCTCTTTTCTTTCACTATTTTTTATTTTCAAATAAAAAGTTTAAAAGTAAAGAATAATTAGAATTTGGCATGGGTCGGTCAAACAGGCTGAATTTCAAGTTTTGGCCCGTTTGTTTTATGCATTGCAAAATTTATTAGCATGTTGATGGAAATGGCTTGGAAAAAGACATATAAGTTGTACCTTTGCAGAAATGTCCTCAAATGGTTGAATGCTTTGTGAATCAGGTTCCGTGACTTTTGTGATGTTGTATGTGCTTGACGATTGCTCGATGTTGTAACTACTTAATTTGAGAGTAAATCTTTTGATTTTCCCTATGAGTTGTGATACCATAGTTCTGGTGGTTGCAGCATGTTGTCGTTGTTGGCCTGTAAAAGTTGTTCCGCCGTGATGCTAAATACCTTTCTTTCCTTTTTAACAAATTGTGTAGTAGTGCTATGAAACAGACCACCCATGAAAGCTACGTTTATTATGGTATGTTCTTACTTCCGGTGGTGAGAAATTGTGAATTGAGAATCATATTCGCCTACCGCACTGTGTCTGGCTGGTGGCTGCTTACTGTGCTCTCTAGAGTTATGAAATAGACTACCCATGAACGTTACCCTTAAGAGTCCATAATTTTGCGAAAAACCAAATTTAGGCAATCAAAGGTGGTGGATGTGTGATGATTTTTTATGGCTTAATTGTTTGTGAATTGGATATCGGATCTTTGTATGATTAGAGGGGATGTTTGCTTAATAGAATAATCCATTTTAATTCATGTTTATTTTTAACATGAACTTAAGTAACTCAAAATCTTCGAGACACATATTACCTACTGCATTGTATCATTTTGCCTGGGTGCTTGCTGTGTTGTCAAACTTCTTTGCTGCTGCTGCTGCTGCATTTACACTAACAGGGGAGTTAAGAACCCATGAATGTTTTCGTTTGACACAAACAAGAGGACTTACTTCTAAATCGTGCACTAAAGATGATTGGAGGAAACATCTCTGTTGCAGTTGATATACTGGAGACCATAACAAAAGCAACGTATAACATCAAAACCAACCATCTGAACTATTAGCATTGTTGCTTTACTCTTTTTTCGTGGTTGAGTCTCCTTCAAAAAATTTAGTTTGATTTTAGAAAATTTTGCTTCTGCAGTCCTGTCTTGCCACCAACGCGTTCAGTAGATGGAGATGGCAGAGGCGAAGGCTATTTTTGTGTTGTTGTTGCTGGTTTAGGGATCGGTTTGTGAAGAAGAGGGAGAAGAGAGGGGGAAAGGGAAATGCAGGAGAGGGGGATAACTCTTTTCTCCGACAAAAATGGAGTGAAGAAAGGAATTATGAAGTAAGGATATGGTTATCTTACATAACAGTCTCTATTCTGTTTGAATTGAGCTTGGGAGGCAGTGATAAGGACGAGCTACAACCAATTCATAGTGATAAGAGTGCTATGAACTATGATCATGTCTTATTTCAAGTTAGAAGGTAGTTTCAGTATAAGGATTATTTAATTTGACAAGTTGTTTTGTACATGATTCTTGGTAGTTTCAGTGCCATTCTAGCCATTGTTTATGTCTGTAATTTTTGAGAAATGATGTGCGAGTAATGACTTTCACTTAGCTTCAACTATTATGTGTGTATTTATTGGCATGTGATAGAATTCTCTTTTCCTTTTCTTTGAATTCAGTTTCATACTCTAATTGTATCATTTGTACATAGACAAATCATGCTCGAGATGACAACTCGCCGATGTGGCTGGTGCAAGGAATGAAGCAATCATTAGAATTCATACCGACAACGGGGAGGGATGCCCAGGACTAATTCAATGATGATTGATGATGGTATAATAAAAACTGCAGTCTGCATCAGCACCAATTTCTAGGCCTAAGTAAAGTTATTCAACACAGAACTCTGCTTAGCGTTAAAAATTGCCCTCACCCAACCTTGATCTTGTTTGACCCACTTCTGAAGAGTCAAGATATAAGAAATCGTCTTTTATCATTTTAAAAGAAAGTACAATTTTGCCAATTATTCGTGACACAACTTATAACCATAATGTTTTTTCTTTTCTTTTTCTCATGATTGCCTATTAACATTTCGGTTATTTGAATAAACACAAGTCACAAAGTGATTACAAATAAGCGAATTTAGTATCTAGTCTTCAAGTTACGAATGTCGGATTAAAATTTTCCACACCTTATATAACCTTCGTGTCCCCGATAATTTATGAAGCTATCTGATCTTGAAATCTAAAACCATGAAAACTCTCAATAATAATCATTAAAATACTTGTGTTAACCCAAAAAAGAAAGCAACATGGATTATTTCTTGTCTAACACCATCCACTTTGGTACTATGATTGTGCCTTTATTTTATTTAGACAAATGCCCAGACACTCTTAACAAAGCAACCCATTATCACCTAATACCTTACACCAGTTAAGAAGAAGAAGAAGAGGGGATAACATTAGCATATTGAAGCAGAACTTCATCACATTGCAACTTACCCATATCTCCTTCTTCCAAATGCACCAATGCCTCTATCCCATCACCATGAGCAGAGTCCATAAACACAACCAGATTCTTGAAACTCAAGCTGGGTGTCCCAACCCACAAAGGCTTCCCCCATCCAAAGTCAGCTTCATATCTATCAAACCAGCACAGGCTAGTAAAGCTCAGAAACCCCACCTCACCTCCAACAAACCCCTCACTTTGCTGCTTTAAGTAGTCCAAATGCTCATCACCCCCTTGTCCTTGCAGGCTCTTCACGAAACCCTTGTCAATTCCACTGATTGCATCTCTAATCTCAGCAATCAAACACCCACCTTCTTCTTCTTCTTCTTCTTCTTCTTCTTCGCCCACATTTGGAACTGTGATCGCAACCCGGTAATAGTTCCCGAATGAGTGCTCTGCCAATGCGGGGTCCATCCTCGTCCTAAGGTTCACCGCATGGAGCAACAGCAGAAGACGACCTCTGTTGCTAGTGGCCGTCATGACACGCCTCCATATGAAGGCAGACAAGGTCTCGATTCGCGATGGGGGTTTCTTGTGCTCCAAGCTTCTGCTCTTTCCGTACTTTGCTCTCAAGGCTTCAATTGAAGCTCCCCTGAAGACAAACCTTTTAACCAGGACTTGATGACCACCACCTTCTGTACTGGTGGTCATGATCCCGGTTTTCGGGTCAAACCCTGACATGTCCCTCGGTGGGAAGAGCTTCGAGGATACGAATTCCGGAGCTTGAACATCGACCTGTCCTTTTGCCATGGCTGCCCAAGCTTTGACGAACGAGATGGTTGATGAAGCATCAGCAAGTTTGTGGGACATGCAGAGTCCAAGGGCGATCCCACCACATTGGAAGACATTGAATTGGACACCTAATGGCAAGTCGTGAGGTCCTCCATGGAGTTGGAATGGGACCAAACCGAGGAGCTCATTTGGCTGTGATGATGAGTTTTCGTGAAGAACATCTGAGATCTTGCAGCTGACTTGTGCTTCAAGGTAAGGAATGCCCTCGTCGTTGCAGTGCGCGACGAGACTGTCCCTGATTCGCCCTGCTAGTGGGTAGTAGTGTGACAGGAGCTTGGATAGGGATTGTTTGAGGAGATTGGATATGGTTGAAGGGTTGTCATCATATTTGGAGTCGTGATTGATTTGTTTAGGGTAGAAGAGGATCAAAGGGTTGTAGACTGGAGGAGAGATCTGGTCTAGGAATGAAAGGTTGTAGTTGAAGAGATTGTTTGGGGTTGGAGAAGATGGCTTGATAGTCTCCTGGGAGACCACTCTGATGTCTAGCTTCATCTTCTTCTCTCTGTTATTTTTCTCTTTTCTAGTGTTAGTATTTTGGTTGCTGTGAAAGTTCAGTAGTCAAGGTAGACTTATATAGTTTTAGGGGTGGGATGGGCATATGATCCGGTTCGGTTCAGGATCATATTGGTCTGGTTTAGGTCCGAATCGAAATTAGATTAAAATGAGGATCAGAACGAAATGAAATCGAATTTGATTTGATCTATCTGATTGTTTAATTCCTTATTCTTAGGAGATCTAATGTTGTTGAAATGAAGAATTTTTTTTGAGAATTGAAACAGCTAACTATAGTAATGTTATGGTCTGATTTGGCTCAACTCAAACATAGTTGCAATTAAATTCAAGTAATTTGGTCTCGTCTCATTGAAGGGGACAAAATCGATGGTGAAATCTTTGGTCAAGTGAAACAAGAAATGGGCTAGCTAGCAAAAAGGGTTCTCGAGGTTGCAGGAGGTGACCCCCTGTTCCAAGATTTAGTAATACTATGTGTACAAGTTATGTACCATGCATATTTCTTTTGAAAAGAGTGTTGAGTTGGTTAAAGTGATTTCCTACCTTGTGCCTTCCTAGTTAAATTGTGTATTGAGGTATGAGTTACTAGAATTTCATCCTGATGCAAATCGAATAACTCAGTGTCGTAAAAAAGAGGGGTTATACTACGTAGTAAAGTTTAATTGTGTATAAACCGTCTTCTTGGTTTATGTAAACTAGGGTGTGTTTTATTATGTAATTTGGTTGTAATTATTAACAATTTTGGAATAAGATATAGATTTTTTCTAGCAACTAACTTGATTTTGTTTGAAATGGGTATAAATACTATTACCCAAAAGTTGATCTAATGTGCAGAAAACGGGGAAAATGATTTAGTATATGAGAAATGGAGATATAGATTGTATCATATCTCCACTTCATCTCCTCTGGATATGATATCGCAGAGTTCATATAAGTTGTCATATCCAAAATCAACAGCAAATAAAATGATGCATGGACAAGCTGTTTGTAAAATTTGGTGAAGGATCAGATCAACTTGCATTATTGTTGAAGCTGAACTCGTGGACAGGAAAGGTACAAGTGCCAAATATGCCATCGATATGCTATCTCTCCATACTTAACGTGGATCTATGAGGTGGGTTGTGAATTTGTGATGCCTTACACTTTTGGAAAAGTAATTATTGAGGAAGTAGTAAACATATTTACACATTATAATGGAATTTACATGTGACTATGTGAGGAGGATTTTGGGCTAATAAACTGTTAACCATAAGCAAATTTGAGGTGTCTTTCAGTAAAAAAAAAAAAATAGTAAAATCAATACCCACGGCGGCTATGCAACGCCGCAGGCACTAAAGTTGCAGAATCATGATTGTACGTTGGCCAATTAGGTGACGAAATACAATTGCATGTAAGGCTAGAGTTGTAGAAATTTAATCCCATCGGAAATGTTGTGTACCATAATTCTAGTGGAATTATGATTAAGTGCTGAAATAATATAGGCAACAATTGAATAACAATCTTCTGTTAATCCAATAAATAGTTGAATAATAATCATCGTTTAATAATTTTCTAGCTAAATCCAACTTATTGACATAATTGATAGTTCTACTCAGGGCTACGTCTAAGAGTTAGTTTCCTACCGAAACCTTACAAACCCCTATCCAGTTCACGGATCAAACCAAGAACTGATGCATTAATACAGAAGAGAATCATGGACACAATTACAACAATGAGAACAAACACCCCACATGCCACAACCTATACTAATCCAAGGACCCGAGTTCTTCTCTCTATGGCTTTCCTCTAGATTCTAGCTGTTGCATTCATATTTGTGTTTGTTCATAACTTCTCCAAAGCTTTTTCAGCCTCTACTCTCCTTTGCCTCAACTCTCAAGTCTCTCGAGAAGATCAAGTCAAAGTCCGGTGTTGTTTTGCAGATTTCACATGTCAAGTTATGACCTTATGTACTTGGGAGCTGAAAACTCGAAATAGAGAAGTTTAAAAAGCGCTGGTGGAAGTTTCTATCCTGACCGAGTAAAGAGAACGTTCGATAAGTCCAGCGAGTCTCTTCATTTCGGTAACTCGGTCCCCCTTCTGCTCATCAAACTCGGTCATCAACAAATCATCATCCATGGCGTCTCCTTCACGTTAAATACTCGGACAAAGATTCATCCTTTCCGTTTCCTCTAATCCCCATTAATGCAAGCAAACCCCGCCATTTATTCCCTGCCGCCGCCAAAAAATGATGTCTAGCTTAGTCGCCAATCTCAGCACAATCGCCGCCAAGTACCAACACAAACGCCTCCTCCAAACCCTAACCCACCAACAACAGCAAAACCCTCCATCTCCGCCGCCGAACCCATTTGGAATAACTTCCCGTCCGTCGTCGGAATCGCCTGCAGGAAGCAACCCGTCTTTCGTCAATGGCGTAGCCACCAAGGATCTCCACATCGACCCACTGTCGTCACTCTCCATCCGGATCTTCCTTCCAGACACCGTCGTCTCCGCCGGATCCGGGATCTGCCCACGTTACGGCGGGTACTTGCCTCCTTCCGGGAAGCAGCCACGGCTGCTGAGGAAGCTCCCAGTGGTGTTGCAGTTCCACGGCGGCGGGTTTGTGAGCGGGAGCAACGAGTCAGCCGAGAACGATTTGTTCTGCCGGCGGGTGGCGAAGGCTTGGGATTCATTGGTCGTGGCAGTGGGCTACAGATTGGCGCCCGAGAGTAAGTACCCTGCCGCTTTTGAGGATGGAGTGAAGGTTTTGAATTGGTTTGTGAAGCAGTCCAATTTGGGGGTTTATGGCAGATTAGGGGTTCAGAGTGGCAATTTCGATAGCTTTGGCGTTTCCATGGTTGAGCCTTGGTTAGCTGCTCATGGCGATCCTTCTAGGTAACGAACTACTTATTAGATTTGTCGCAATTTGAAATTAGAAAGATGCTGTAGATCTCCAATTTCATTGAATTCATTTGCCTGATTTTGGTACTGTCATCAGAGCAGGTGTGTTCTCCTTGGGGTAAGTTCAGGGGCAAACATAGCTAACTATGTTGCTGAAAAGGCGGCGGAGGAAGGAAATCTACTGAATCCTGTGAAGATAGTGGCACAAGTTCTGATGTACCCTTACTTCATGGGAACCGTGCCATCACATTGTGAAGCTAACTACACAACCTCGTACTTCTACAGCAAGTCGATGTGTAAGATGGCATGGAAGCTGTTCCTTCCAGAGGTGGGAGCGTTTGGCGACCTAGATCATCATCCAGCTGCCAATCCTCTTGTTCCTGGAAAACACCCGCCTCTAAAGCACATGCCACCAACATTAACTATAATTGCAGAGCATGATTTCATGAGGGAGAGGGCAATTGCTTACTCGGAGGAGCTACGGAGAGTCAATGTGGATGCACCGTTACTTGAGTATAAGAACGTCGGTCATGAATTTGCCACCCTTGGCTGGCTTCTCCAGACGCCACAAGCACAGGCTTGTGCGGAGGATATCGGGATATGGGTCAAAAAGTACATATCGGTTCGTGGCAACGAGCTGTCTTATTGAGAAACAACAAGAGAGATGAGAGGGTTGATACAAATCCTGATGAAGAGAAAGTGAGAATTGGCTAATAGAGGGATGATCATTCATTGGTTGTGCCACAAGGTAGAATGAGAAAGGATTCGGCAGCCGATCATTGTAGGTTTGATTGGATGAGCGGGGAAGAGCCAGATTCCCTTCTGGTTTATCCCATCTGCTTGTAATGTATAGGTTGGAGAAAGTTTTATCCTTTGTTTCCCCTTGTATAGTGAACGAGCAGCTTTCTTCAAACTCCTTGAATTCTGAGATGGACGGTTTTACTAATTTGTTGTGTGTATAATTCTAATTCGAGGAGACCCAATGGACTAGTGTTCTTTCTCACCTTGTTCTGATGTGGCTATTCTGTCTTTTATCGACTAAACAAAGTTCAGTAATTTCTATGCAGAGCTACTTCAATTCCGGCTTGCTCATGGAACTTGAGAGGAGAATTTGAATCGTCCAAAACTACTTTCCTTGTTCCAGAGATGGCGGTCAACCAAAAACAATGCCTACCCGAACGGCACGACTCAATATGCCTTCTTCAGAATATTTTAATCATTCATTCAACCTCTCAGGTAACTTCGCCAGCTTAGCATCAGCTTGTAGGAACCATAGTACTCTAGGCGAAGACTGCATGTGTTGTATTAGCTAGTTGCTGCAAATTTAATTTGACATGCTCGTCCTGACTTGTTGTGGATCTGTTTATGACTAATTAACCTGTAGCTCAAACCTATTAACCTACCTGACCTGCATCCTCTCTTAAAGTTGATATGGGTATTGAGATATGTGCGCTGCCCTAACTGATCACCACTCCTAGGCTCATTGTCTGCTCTGGGTTTCTATGGATGAAACAAGATTTGCTAATATTTGTGTAACCGAATCATCAGGCAGTTCCTCGAAATGCCTGGAAAGTTGATAAATATACCAATTTCTTTTTATCCTTTACTTTGTTTTCTCCGTAGTTGCCGAACATGGCTGAAGAAGGGATGTATAGTATTAGTACTTTCCTGATAAAAACCTAGGAGAGGGTTGGAAAATGACTGGAATTCTGTTCCTGTATGGTATATTATACCAGTATTATTACATCCATCTCGTAGATTGCATGCTCAGGACAAAACTTAGTGCCCCTCGCCACCAGATGATCATCACATCCAGTGGCCTTTGATAACAACATTTATCTGATAATAAAATGTGGAAATATCAGATCAAACTCAAGGAGGGCAGGGGAGTTTGAATTAATTAATCTACTTTTAGTATTATGTTAATCATTTCATTACCTCTTCTTGCCGGAAACATGAGAAGTATGACAGATCATGTCTTTGTGAAAGGTACAGTCGGATGCTGATAAAACCTACACAGCTGGATTAGAAACTGACAGCTTTGAGAGGATGGGGAAGTGTTAGGGAAATTTCCCCCTCATTATTCCATGAGGAGTTGATGGTGACAACAGGTATCCTTAGATTGATCTATGCGAAAATAGCACCCTATGCCTGCTTGTACCATGACAACCATTGTTGTCCCCCTTGTAAAGTAGTTTTCACCCTGTATTCTCATGTTTAGTCCCTCAACTGTGCTTTTCTTAACAAATAGGATCACTAAATACTATATCGTCTCGTCTCGTCTCGTCTAGTTTGTTCGTTAAACATTCTGTCATATTCAGCTATCAATGGATTGGAAAGATGGTTAGTAAGCACGTTCTTCATAAATCACATGTAATGGTGAATTCATAATTCTGATAGAGAGGGAAAGAGTTTGGGAGTTTCCAGGAGAAAAAATGAATTTACATCATACATAAACATGTAAGTCATCATCTTCCTTGTTTGCTAAGCATTGATTACCCCCCACTAATAACATATTTGGATTGTATTTTTAACGTGCCGGCTAAAAGGTGATAAACAATATAATACAGTGATGTATTTATTTGGAAATCATAATACGTTAATGTGTTTGCTAAAATGACCCATTAACCCATTTTTATAATATTCCTCAACATTGCAGTTCTCGCCGGCAACAAGAATCAAAAAGATCTCCAGGAGATGGGGGGTAATAGTGAAAGTCTATATATTAGAAGCACTCGAGCCTAACTTCCGGGAGGTTCAGGAAAAAAGAAACCAGGAGTACTATTACTGTGTTCGATATTTTCCAAGGAGAGGTAAAACCCAGGAAATGGTTGCTGCAGATCCTTACATATCATCCAACTTCCATAGCAATGGAGGAGGCAGTGGAGGTATCGATTCAAGCGATCTCGATCTTAATCTCTGTCAATTCCCGTGCTATCCAGCATTCTCGGAGAAACGTGGGCCGGATTACAGCTTAGACCAGCCAAGAACTCAAAAGAAGCTGAAGCAGCAAACTGATGATAGTGGGTCCCCTACTGACACCAGCTCTGGCGGGTTCTATGAGGCTAACAGCAGCAGCAACAGTAGCTTCAACAGCTTGCCAAAGCTCCAGTTCCGAGACTATGTATGGGCGTATGCGGAGAGGTTCCTGGCCATCGAGGCCATGGAGGAAGCTGCTGCAATGACTTTGGCAGTGGAAGAAGAAGAAGAGAAAGTTGAGGTTAAAGAAGAGCCAGGTGTCGATGGGATGAAGCTCGTCCAGCAGCTGATCGCCTGCGCGGAAGCAGTCGCATGTCGCGACAAGGCTCACGCATCGGCGCTGCTGTCTGAGCTGCGAGCCAATGCGCTGGTATTCGGGACTTCGTTTCAGCGCGTGGCATCCTGTTTCGTCCAAGGGCTGTCCGACCGCCTTACACTGGTCCAGCCCCTAGGGACCCATGGGGTCCTCAGTTCAGCACCTGCTAGAGCCTTGGCCTCGTCCTTTTCAGCTGAAAAGGATGAGGCTTTGACGCTGGCCTACGAGCTTTGCCCGCAGATCCAGTTCGGACATTTCGTGGCAAACGCATCAATCCTCGAAGCCCTTGAGGGAGAGAGTTCAATTCACGTTGTGGACCTTGGGATGACACTAGGCCTCCCTTGCGGTCAGCAATGGCAGAATCTGATGCACAGCATAGCTGGACGCATCAGAAAGTCGTCGGTTCCACGTCTACGAATCACAGGCGTGGGGCCTGAAGCCGATCGCCTGCAGGCAATCGGACTCGAGCTCAGTTGCTATGCTGCCAACCTGGGTTTGAATTTTGAGTTCATGTATATCAGGAGCAGTTTAGAGAGTCTGAAGCCCGAAGATTTTGACGTCCAGGAAGGGGAAGCCGTGGTGATCAATAGCGTCCTCCAGATGCATTGCGTGGTGAAGGAGAGCCGTGGCGCTCTGAACTCGGTCCTTCAGGTCCTGAATGAGCTGTCGCCCAAGGCATTTGTCCTGGTCGAGCAGGACTCGAATCACAACGGCCCCTTCTTCCTGGGGAGGTTCATGGAATCACTGCATTACTACTCGGCCATCTTGATTCGCTGGACTCGATGCTGCCCAGGTATGACACCAGGAGGGCGAAGATCGAGCAATTTTACTTTGCGGATGAGATCAAGAACATTGTGAGCTGCGAGGGGCCGGCTAGGGTCGAAAGACATGAGAGGTCAGATCAGTGGCGCAGAAGGATGAGCAGGGCCGGGTTCCAGGCTTCGCCGTTGAAGATGTTGGCGCAGGCTAAGCAGTGGCTTGGCAAGGCCAAGTTCTGTGATGGGTATACTGTGGTCGAGGAGAAAGGTTGCTTGGTTCTTGGATGGCAATCAAGACCCATCATCGCAGCTTCTTGCTGGAGGTGTTCCAAGATTTAAAAGAAAAGTACAGGTTCTGTTAATGGATTTCAAATAAACCTCCACCAAAGATTCTGATCAGAATCCCCCCACTCTGCAATTTGTTTACTTTGTGAAATAAGGGTTTTTGCTGTTTTCTTATTCCTGATGAACCAGGGAATCTTAAAGCTTCGGCCTTTTCCCCTGGAAATAACTGTCTCGATTTTCTCTGTTCATGTTTCCTTTGTGTTATCACTGTTTCTGTTTAGCCAACTCGCCACTGAAAGAAGCAATCCCCTGGTGGAAAAAGAGAAATCTTTTCAATTGGCCTTGGGATTATCAGGAACTATGCTTTGCTATTTGATTAATGAAATGAAGCTATCAGCTTAAAATTGTCCAATTTTTGCAGCTGCGAGACATGTTTAAACTGGAGGCTAGAGTAGCTGCCACGTGTATGGTGGATACATAGATTCCCTATTCTGCTCCTTGTATGGATTAGATCGCTTGTACTCTGTTTGAGCAAGAACCAAGTTCAATTAGAAATAGAAGTGGGTATGTCACTAAATGCACTGGTGAGGCTGCCATTATCGAGTTCGTCGAGAACTCTAGAAGATGGATTGGTCAAGCACTCGTTATTCTCACCTCAGAGATGCAGGGTGACGCGACGTGGGAGTTCTTTATCAGTAGTTGAAGCCAAGGGGAAGAGAGGGATGGCAAATCGCCAGTTTCAGCAGAGACCTCCTCCATTGCCCAAGTTCGTCATCTTCATCCGCATGGCCAATGTAATGTTTTGCCCCCTTTTGGACTCTCTTCCCTCTTTTGCAAGTTGTAAACAGTTCATTACTTTACTCTGTAGATGAATTGAGTTTCCTTGGTAGCTCTGTTCAATCGGAATTTCATCAGTTCGTATCATAATGCCTACGGAATGGGATTTGATCTTAATTGCGGATCCGTGTAGATCATGATCTGAAGAACAGTAACATGTTAGAGTGGACTCAAGAACATTGTGCAATCTCAACAGTAACATGTAAGAGTAGATCATGATCCGAAGAGTAGCAACATGATTACGGAATGAGATTTGAATGAGATATGCCCACGCTTGTTGAATCCTGTAAATCTCATATTTATTGTGATTGCTCTTTTTCTTTCGCTTGTTCCTTCTTGTATTTGATTCCAGAATCCAATTCGGCCTCCCATTCTGCTGTTATACATGATTGCAGTTCGAGTGCTGCTGACCGTCCGATTCTGTAAAGTTAGGACTTAGAAATGGATGGTGTTTCTAATCATGTCCTGAATTCGTCTAGATTGCTTTAGCTAATTTTACCTGCAACGCTGAGTAATTATACTGAGACTGTTGTTTACTTATTCCCCCAGGTTTACATATGGTACCCGCTTAGTCTAATAACAGGCGGTACAACAGCTAAAATCATGGTTGCTGCCAAGGACAACTTTCTGGGCAAGTACATATACAAAGACACACTTGCTCGAAACCTTGCCGCGGTAATCTATAGAGTAAGTTGGTTAGTAGAATCTTCTTGTCTTGTAACTTGCTGAAAGAAGCTTGCATTTCTCACATGAAAAAGATGAAGTATTATAATAATATAGATTTTCATTGTGTTGTGTTTGGTTTTCTTAGTAATAATTAGTCTCTGAATTAGCCAGCATAGCAGTTTCATGCTTTGTTTTCTCCTTCCAATTTGATCTCACTTTGGAACCACACTGAAAACAAAGTTGTTGTCTTTCGCATCATTTGATCTGTACTAAGTTTGGATCCAAACAATGAATGCCATTAGTTTGACATGTGTTGGCCAAAAGCATATAGACAAATGATTAGCATCCACTTCTGCCGTCTCCCACAATATCTTCTCATCCTTGTGTTGTTCCATTTCCAACATTGGATAAGATTATTGGCTGAGAACCGCTGGTTGCTTGTTTTCTGATTGGCAAATTTTATGTCCAATATTAGGATGAGAAGGAAACACAGAAGACTGCAATCAAGCAACATCGTTTGTTACGATCAGCAACCGAGTTCAGATATGGTTACAAGCTCATTGTAATAACGCCCTTCCTTACCATCCATAGCACCACGAAACCGTTTCATATTCTTCATTCAACTCATCTTTTTACTTTATGGCATGATGCACGAGAATGGCAATGTAAGAGCTGGTCTGGCGACGAATGAGGTCATTGTGGTAGGACTCTAAATTATACTCTTGGATCTAGAAAACTCGTCTTAATTCTTCATGGATAATGATCCTTGGGCTTCTGTGATATGCTGTTTATTTAAATCATGAATTTCCAGAGCTTCCGACGCAAGACAAACTGAAGACAGTGGTTGACAAAGTGAAAGACTTCTTTGGGGATGCGAAGGAATCCTTCGGGAAGCTACAACGCTAAATTCGACTGGAGACGAGACGAGGAGGCGCAACAAGAAGTTACAAAGGTAGACGAGAAAGCAAAGTGAGTCTGTACTTTCATCCATTGATTTTCACATTGGGAATTCCACAAAGTTCTCTAACTTGGTAACTTCCAGATTGTGCAGAGTTAAAAGCCTGAAAACCCAGAGAGAAAGTTGCAAGCTTTACAGTTGATCGGTAGCCCATTGGTTCCTCCAGATTGAAAAGAGGTTTTTAAGCAAGAGATCTGTGGTTGCCATGGTGAGGTTATTAAATGTACAGCATTGTCTTGCTCCATGATTTTGGCCATTGCATGTCTATACCTTGTCAATTTGTCACCCATTTCAATCTATGTATATCTGTCTAGCATGTTCTTTCACATGTAAGCATGGAATGGAATTGAAACATGTACTGATTTTTCAGTATCTCTTCATTAGCCTAGTGGTGATCCGCCTAAAGTGTTGTTGTAGCTCAGCACAACAGGGTCAGCCAATTGATTTTGGTTTTGCGGGTTTTGGTAGTCCAAAGTCTGCCAAAAGACATGCAACTGCAGTGTGTAGAACTGATGACCGACTTCCCTAGCCTCGATGAGCTTACAAGCACAGAAGAGATCATGTGTAATCCAATTCCAGGCTGGGCTAGGCGGCCGATGATAATGAGAAAATTGTCATCGCTTGTTTGTTGATTGAACCCAATTCTCCAAATTGGCAAGTCCAGTCAAAACTTTATCCTACATTTCTGGATAATTCCTGAAAGCACCAAAACTCTGTCCCTACGCTGCCACTGCCGGTCACCATCGACACACAGAAATTTCTAGTCTTTTTTTTCTTCTTCTTCATTTCTAGAAATGTCCATTCCTCCATTTATATAGCACTACTCTACTTCCGACTCCTTCCATCGCTAGAACAATAACCAACTCCTGTAAATGCTGTTGACTTTGTCATAAAGTTCTGATCTTTGTGGGTTAACGAAGACTCCCATCATCATCCATCTTTCAGAAAATGTCTCAAGTCCTGTCAAATTTGGGACTTTCCTTGCCTTCATCATCTAAATCAAGCTGCAACTCCTTGCTGAACCTGAAATCCTCTTGCAGCTTATCTTCCCAGGTGAAACCCTCCAGCTCCAGCAGCTTCAGCATCAAAGCCATGGCGCCAGATGGCAGGGGAAACCTTGACCAATTGCAGAGGATCAACAACAACAATAAGCAGCAGCAGCAGGCGCCACAACCCAGAAGGAAAATTGTTCCTTCTGCTCCTGTAGGTACGTCAAAACTTCCTTTCTCCATGCCCAAATCCCAATCACCACATGCTGAACGAATCCATAAGATACATGTAGCAGAATGTAGCTTCCATCCGGTCACAAGTTACCGACATTATTAATTGCTTGACATTTTGCAGGGCTGTGGGACAGATTCCCAACGGCGAGAACCGTGCAACAGATGATGGACACAATGGAGAGGCTAGTGGAAGACCCGTTGCTATTAGCCTATTCACCGCAATTGTCAATGGAGGATCCAAGAGGAGGCTACAGCAGCAGGGGGAGGACGCCATGGGAGATCAAGGAAGGTGAGAATGAGTACAAAATGAGGTTCGACATGCCCGGAATGACCAAATCTGATGTCAGAGTGTGGGTTGAAGACAAGATGTTGGTTGTCAAGGCTGAGAAATCCGCAGCCAATAAGGATGGGGAGGTAGTAGAGGGATCTGATTGTAGTGATTGGTCTGCCAAGAGTTACGGGAAGTACAGCAGTAGGATTGCTTTGCCTGAGAATGTTGAGTTTGAGAAGATTAAAGCGGAGGTTAAGGATGGGGTGTTGTATATCAGTATCCCCAAAGCTGGTCCTGGTTCCAAGCTTCTTGATATCAATGTTGAGTGATTTTTTTTTTCTTTCTTTTGGACGGATGGTTTGTACAAGAGTTTATTGAAAGTCTAATTAACTCCTATGTCTAACATTCTGGTTAATTTTTTTGGTATTTAACATCTGAACTAATCCTACAGATTATTAATTTGACTAAAGTCGAGAGTTGACTGTTAGTTTTGACAATCAAGATTGTTTTTTTTTTTATTACTGAGGAGGCAAAAGCCACATTACAGAGGCACTACTGCTAGCAAACAATCAAGATTGTTAATTAATGATCAACTCGTCATGTCACTACTCAATCAATATAAATAAACTTTAAAAATTCATAAATTCCACATAATTACTATTTCAGATATATTTTCGTAGGTCAGAGTAATATTTTTTAAAGAATAGAATTGAGATAATTTATTTATGATTGAGATTGGGATTGAGCTTAGTATACTTTTTGGTAACTGAATTTCAGTATTTGGTATTGTAATACCGATATCGTACTGGTTTTCACCTCTATTAGTACCACGTTCTTTTTTTACTCGAATCTTGAAAACAAATTCCAAAAGTAAAGAGTTCGTTGTGATTTATTGATTTAAAAAAAATTGAAAATATTCAGGACCATATATACAACCCACGATGAACTCTTTCTTCTTGAGTGTTCGGACCAAAATTGTCTTTTACGTCAAGTTCATACCAAAATAAGGTATTATCCCTATGACGTGGAAGTCATGTCGCGGTTCCAGCCACCTCAACATTGTTCTTTGAATCATGGGAGAAGAAATGTTTGACTATTAGTATTAACGACCAACCTAAATTTTAGTTCAATATTGTCCATTTCTTTCAAAATTCCGAAAACTTTCTTATTTGCAAGTTCATGTCAACATTGTCTTTTACGTCAAACTTCAAGGCCAAAATAACGTATTATCTCTATTATTTATGGTCAACTTACCAATCAAAATAGTCATTGAAAGTGACGGCAACACTGACAAAGACAAACATATATAACTCAAAATTAGTTACACTCAACCTTACATTTGAAGCACTCTTGAGAATCCCAACTAGTTTCTAGGCATCTTTAAGGACTACGTCCTAGCCTGCTTTCTTAACCAACTGAGCCTTATTCTATTATCAATGAAGAGGGATAATTTTGGGCGTACCTATTAAACATCAATTAGGGTTACAAATGATCTCGTTACTAAACTCTATCAAAGACCAAATCTTGAGCTATATACCCTTCTAAAGTTACATGTATGTCTTTCTTTTCTTCTTTGAACAATTATATTTAATTCTTCAATCTTATATCTTATCATCCTATTATATTGTAAACATGTTATACGTACATAATTTTTATCTAACTTTTCCGGCCAAGGGCCAGACCCAGTGCTACTTAGTCATAAAAAAGAGAAGCAATTATATATTAGCCGTTCCTGACTTGCATGCTAACCCCCTTAAGAGTTGGAAAAATGATACCCCTAGTGTATTAAATACAACTATAGAATTTAATACACACATTAAATACACATTAGGAATTAAATGCATCATATTAATTATTATCTTTTTTTTCAAATCAAAACCTACACTAAATATATTCTCTCTCCCTTTATCTGATTTTTCCTTTTTCAGCAGCCTCTGACCACCAGACTTCCTCCGACCGCCACACTTCTCCAGTGAAAATCTCATCGACAGACTCCCTCCGACCACCTGCAAAAAATATACCACTGCACTGATACATTGTACCACTACACTGGTAGCTATACCACTGCACTGGTAGCGATATCAGTGCACTGGTACCAATGTCATATATGAGTATCAGTGCAGTGGTACAAATACCAGTACAGTGGTACAACATATCAGTGCAGTGGTATATTTTCGTAAGTGACCGGAGAGAGTCTGTCGGTGGATTTTACCGGCGAAATGTGGTGGTCGGAAGAAACTTTGTGGTCGGAGGCTGGTCGGAAAGGAAGAATAGAGATAGGAGAGAGAATGATCAAATATGAGAGAGAGAATTGTATTTTTGTATATGTTTAGATTTTTTTTTAAAAAAATGAGTAATTAATGTGGTGTATTTAATGCTTACTTTGTATTTAGTAACAGAACATTTATTAGGGTTACTTTCATTAATACTAGTCAATAATTAATGAAAAATTGACCAATTAACAAGGGGTGTCATTTAAAATCGCTCTCCTCACGCTCTGATGGAAAACGCTCTCTCTGCTGCTACGACGGTGGCTCCGGCGCTCACTCCTTCCGGCCGGCCATCGGATGACTCGGGGACTACTTTGATGGCGGCGATACCAGGTGGGCCTATGGCAAATCAGGTACCAGCTGACTCCTCGATGATGGCGGTGGATAACAACGCCTCGGGAGGAGAGCAAACGACCCCAAATCAGAACGTTCTGCAACAACCTTCAATCTCGTATGCCAAAGCATTGGTGGGATCTGAACAGCAAAGGACTTTGACAGGTCAGACGTGGACTCCAGTTGGGGAGCATGACTTAATCCCTGATCAGGTTAACGGGGAACCGGCGCTGCGTATTTCGGCTGGCTTCAAGGGGCGTCTATGCGCTCCATGGCAAAAAACACTTGTTGTGCGTCTCTTGGGGCTTCGAATTAGCTTCCCCACGTTATGCTCCCGGCTTCGAGGGTTATGGCGACCTAAAGGAGCGATGGAGATTATGGATTTGGATGATGCCTGTTATCTCGTGCAATTATCTAATGAGCAGGATTACTTCAAGGCGCTCACTGATGGACCATGGGTCATCTACGATCATTACCTTGCTGTTCAGCAATGGACGCCAAATTTTGGGATTCTCGACCCCTTGCCAAAGACCATGATTGTATGGGTTCGCCTTCCAACACTCAAGGTCCACTTCTACCATCGTGAGGTTCTCACGTCCTTGGGGAACCTTATTGGCCGTACAATCAAGCTCGATTATCATACAATCAATCAACAACGAAGGAAGTTCGCTCGCTTGGCGGTGGAGATTGATATGACCAAACATCTAGTTCCCCGGATTTTCTTGGATGATCACTGGCAGAAAGTGGAGTATGAAAATCTCCTAACGGTGTGTTTCGAGTGCGGGAAGGTGGGCCACAGTTCTGGTGGTTGCTCAACTGTCCACCCTGCAACAACCGGCGATCAATTGGCCAACGTCGGCGGTCCAGTTCCGGCCAAGCAGGCGACCGTTGAGGAAGCTACTCCAGCGGGCTTCGGGCCATGGATGCTAGTTTCAAAAAAAGCCGGCGATTTTCTAGGGATTCGGTGAAGAAAGGAAAGGTTGAGCATGATCTGGGCAACGAGAATCAAGGGCAGGTGAACAAAAATGGGAAAAGTGGCTATAAAAGTAAAGAGGGGGAGTTGGTCTCGTCTGCAACTACGGCGACCGAAATGACGGAGCCCCAACGTTCACAAGGGCATGAAAGGAAAGGGAATCTGTTGGGGAAGGAAGGAGACGTCTCGACTCGGATGGGCAAGGAGCATAGAAAAGGCAAGGAAACCATACGTGAAGGCAAGGCCTTGGGTAAAGGCATCTTGGGCTCTGGCCCAACCCAGATGGAGGGTGTGACTAGTGTTCCCCGGCTCAAACAGGCCTCGGACAAAGCCTCTTCTTCGGCCCAAGCGGGTGCTACTTCTTCTGATCAGCCTAAACAAATGGAGCTTTTGCTTGCGGGTCCTGGGCCCATTTCGGATAAAAAGCCACCTCTCATCAACCAACCACCGGTCCAAATGGTTATTGGCCCAAAAGGAACTAAAATGCAGATTGTGGCTATCCCTTTGTCGCCGAAGAAGAAACAGCAATCGGATTCCTCTTCCCCGTCGGCCGCGGAGCGCACCAAATCGAACAGGAAACCTCGGCTCCATTCTAAGAAGGGGTCTACTCCTGTGAAGCTTCAGGCCTCCAAGGCCCTTCAAATATGGTCCCCTGTGAAAGATAAGAAGACCAAATCAAGAACCAGATTGGCGACTCTTACGCTTCAAGAGATTAACGCCTGGACTGGAGCGGCGGCTCAATCTGTTCGAAGCACTGAACAAGGAGATGCTCGCCCACCCAAAATGGAGCACCCTGTTGACGTGGAGGACCTGGTCGCTGCTGCCGAAAGCCCCATCTAATTTGGTGCCTTTGTTCCTCGATTCCCCTCTTCTTCCTCTGCTCGGTTTCTCTATCCTTTACCTTAATGTCTATGTCTTCTACTAATAATTACAATATTCTCTCTTGGAATGTAGGTGGTGCTGGGAGCAAAGCATTTTCTCACGCTCTCAAGCTTACCATTCAGACTCATAAGCCGGACTTCGTCATTCTCCAGGAACCGCAAATTAGTGGCAACGCAGCTAACCGTGTTTGTGACAAGTTGGGGTTTCCTGACGTGATTCGCGTGGAGGCAGATGGGAGGCAGGGTGGCATTTGGATTTTCTGGGATGCCCAGCGCTTCAAGATTCAAATCATCTCAGCCTGCTTCCAACATATCACCTTGCGTATTTCTCAGAATGGCATGACGGACTGGATGCTTACCGCGATTTATGCTTCTCCTCAGCATAACCGGCAACGTCCGCTCTGGGATAGCATCTCAGCTCAGAGTAAAACTATAGACATTCCCTAGATGCTTACGGGAGATTTTAATGCTATTAGAACTCCATCGGAGACATCCGGGGCTGCGTCAGTGGCTACTTTGCGGAGATGCCGTGTGTTTAATGAAAGGATTAACGAAGCTGAGTTGGTGGATCTTGGTTACTCTGGCCCCAGTTTTACTTGGACTAGGGAGGAGGGACCTGGTAACTACAAGGCTAGCAGGATTGATAGAAGCCTATGCAATATCCTGTGGAACTCGACTTTTCCCGACACCAGCGTTCGCCACTTGCCCCGCCTCAAATCTTATCACAGTCTAGTTCTCACGTCTTTCGCTGTTCAGGGGCATTCTTTCCACTCTCCTCGTGCTTTCAAGTTTGAAGCTGCTTGGCTTACCAATAATACTCTTTTGAATACGATTGCAGGTGCTTGGAATCATTCTGCCCCTCTGCTTACTGCACTTTTTGATCTGAGCTCGGCGCTTCAAGTCTGGAATAGAGAGGTTTTCGGAAATGTTCAGCAAAAGAAGAGAAGGTTGCTGGGGCGGATTAGAGGAGTGGAGATGCGCCTTTCTGCAGCTTTTCATCCTGGGCTGGCGAAACTTCACTCCAAGCTTGAAGCCGAGCTGGACGAGGTCTTGGAGCAGGAAGAGTTGATCTGGTACCAGAGGGCTAGAGAGAGCTGGGTCAAGTTTGGGGAGCGCAATACCAACTACTTCCATCAACAGGCTAACATTAAGAGGCGCAGAAATAAGATTACTGCTCTCCGGGACCCTGCAGGGGTGTGGATCGAGGACCCCCTGGCTCTGGCTAGTATGGTTTTTGATTTCTATACTAATCTCTACCTGCAGGATAGCTCTGTGTATGAGGATAGGATGCCGAGGAACGCCTTTCCCCGCCTTGCTCAAGAGGAGCTCCTTACCCTGTTGAGACCGTTCACTTCCTTGGATATCCAGAATGTCATCTTCGAAATGAAGCCTTTACAAGCTCCTGGTCCGGATGGTTTTCACGAGGCCTTCTATCAACAGGCCTGGAGCGTGGTTGGAAAATCTCTCACCGATATGGCGCTAAACTTCTTCAGCTCGGGCACTCTCCCTGCGGAGGTCTCAGAGTCAACGGTGGTGCTTATTCCCAAGGTGGATCATCCAGAGTTTGTGACCCAGCTTCGGCCTATCTCGCTTAATAATGTGAGTCTTAAAGCCATTACCAAAGCTATTACGAGTAGGCTAAAGCCGGTCATGAGGAAGCTCGTTTCCCCCCGCCAGAGCAGTTTTATCCCCGGGCGACAAACTACAGATAATGTTATTGTGGTCCAGGAGGTCCTCCACTCTCTTGGAAAGAGGAAGGGAAAGAAAGGGGGTATGGTTCTTAAGATTGACCTTGAGAAAGCGTATGATTTGCTGAGATGGGACTTCCTCCGGGATACTTTGAAGGAGGTGGGGCTTCCGAGTGATTGGATCCGAGGTATAATGTATTGTGTGGAGCAGAACAGGATGCGCGTTCTCTGGAATGACACCTTATCCTCCCCCATCACACCTACTCGCGGAGTTCGCCAGGGAGATCCTCTTTCCCCTTACCTCTTTGTTCTTTGTATGGAACGTTTATCTCATAGAATCGATGAGGCTCTCCTTAGTGGGCAATGGAAACCCATTAAGCTCACTAGGGATGGACCGCCACTCACCCATCTTTTCTTTGCAGATGATCTTTTGCTTTTTGCGGAGGCAGAGACGAGGCAAATCAGGATAACCAAGCAGTGCTTAGACGATTTTTGCTCTAGTTCCGGACAGCGGGTCAACTACGCCAAGTCCCTGATGTTTGTGTCCCCGAATGTTGACAGGGCCACTGCTCGTATGTTGAGCGAGCGGGCGGCAATCCCCCTGAAGGCTGAGCTTGGGAGATATCTTGGTATCCATGGCATCCATGGTCGGGTGACTTCTGGGAGATATCAGGGCCTCCTCCTCCGCATCCAAAAGAAGCTAGCTCATTGGAAGGCCAAGCGTTTGTCTCTAGCTGCTCGTCTCACTGTTTCCAGGTCTATCATTTCCTCTCTTCCTACTTACCATATGCATACTGAGTTACTACCTAAAGGAGTTTGTACTTCGATTGATCGTATCAACAGGAATTTTGTTTGGGGAGAGGAAGAGGGGAAATCGAGAATCCACCTGGTTGGGTGGGAGAAGATGATCTTGCCAAAGAATCAGGGAGGTGCTGGCCTCCGCTCCGTGCGAAATGCCAACCTAGCCATGCTTGCTAAAAGCGGATGGAGACTTCTAAAGGAGAAGGACGTGCTTTGGACGCAGGTGGTCAGGGACAAGTACGGGCGGAATAAAGAAAATTTGGATATCCTTAGACCTGTTCAGGGAAGTTCCTTTACCTGGAAAAGTTTAACCAAAGCTTCCTCCCTGCTGAAAGGAGGATGTGCTTGGAATATAAAGAATGGGAATGCTACTAAATTTTGGAATGACTCTTGGATTGTGCAGGAACCTCTCAAGAATCTGGCGCTTGAGGAGATTCCTAACTCGCGCATGGAGGAGTCAGTGGCTGATTTGGTGACAGCAGAAGGAGAATGGCGCACTGATTTGTTTGCGGACATCCTTCCTCAAGATATCCAGCAGAAAATCACAGGCGTGGCGGTTGATAAGCTCTCCAGCGAGGAGGATACCCTGTTTTGGACCTTGTCATCAACCGGTAGATTCACCACGAAGTCAGCCTACCAGTCTCTTCTGCCTCAAGAACCCGACCGGGATGAAAAGTTTTGGAAGATCATTTGGAGTCTGCCTGTGTCGGAGAGGATCCGTTGCTTCATGTGGATGGTTTGCCTGGGCAGAATTGCGACTAAAGCTCTCCTTTTTTCCAGGAAGTCAGCGAATTCTCCCCACTGTGTTCGATGTGATGGCCGAGCCGAGACCGTCCTCCACATCCTCAGGGACTGCCCTCCGGCGGCCTATTTTTGGATGAGACAGGTCCCCAGTACCAGACATCAGAGATTCTTCTCGGCGGACACCTCAGCATGGCTCCGGATGAACTTAGCTGCAGGGGAGGACGAGCATCTGGGGGAGGATTGGGCGGCTTTGTTCAGCATTGCCGCCTGGCTCTTGTGGAAAAATAGAAATGACATGTGCTTCAAAGGTATTTCCTCCACCCTCACTCCGCCTTCATTGACTCATTCGATTCTTGCTAAGGCCAAACTGTGGAGGGAAGCTTGGAGCGCACCTGCCTTTTTGCTTACTAGGAGGGCGTCCCCTGCCACTCGTGTTATGGCAAACATTGCTTGGACTTCTCCTACAGATGGTTGGGTTAAGCTTAATATTGATGGAGCCTCTAATGGGAACCCGGGGATGGCCGGGGCTGGAGGCGTGATGAGGGACAGTGTGGGGCAGTGGATAGTTGGCTTTGTGGCCAAAATTGGTGAAGCCTCGGCAGTTCTAGCTGAGCTATGGGCCTTCTATCACGGTTTGGATATAGCGTGGAAATCCGGATACCGCCAGATTGTAGTTGAGTCTGACTCTCAGCTTGCCATCCAGTTAATCAATGACAGGCATGATCCAGTGCATCCGTATGCTACTTTGTTAGCTGCCATTCGCAGAAGAGTTAGCCGTGACTGGCTGGTGCGCATAGGTCATGTATATCGAGAAGGGAATAGAGTCGCGGACTGGCTCTCGAAGCACAGTCTCGTCTATCCCTACGGTATACATGAACTTGCGCACCCGCCGCCAGGGGTAGTGGCCATCCTTCGGGATGATGTACAGGGTGTTTCTTTTGAGAGGCGGATTGTTTCCCGCCCGGATAGCTCTCCCTCTTCTCATCCCCCTATGTAACCCTCTTGTTCTTGGCTTTCGCCTCCTGTTATGCAAAAAAAAAAAAACAAGGGGTGTCATTTTTCCAACCCCTTAGGGGGTTAGCATGCTATCTCATCCCGTCATATTAACATTGTCAGCTGCCTGGTAGGCTTCATTATAAGCCGCAAATCACCGAATAGTAATTAATTAATATATAAAAGTTAAGGTTGTAGGTTACTATTAATTAGTGGCTCTCACACTCCTCCATGTGCAAGTGGAGAAATTTCAATTACTTGTTTTACTTTACTCTCCATTCTACAACCTTTGTGTTTAATTATTGTTCGCTAGGTTTTCGTGTATGACTTTTTGCACAAATCGTCGCCTTTACCCACCATTTTGCAGCCCATCTCAAAATATTGAGGCGGAATCCTAAGTTGTTCCCCACCACCGATTCCAAAGGCCTCTACCACAAGTTTTGTTGAGCATGTTCACAATTGAATCCAAGCACATGTGTATCCTAACTTGAACACGAACCATCGCCTTTGCCCACCATTTTGCGGCTCATCTTGAAATACTGTCGGCGGAATCCTTAGTTGCTCCCCACCACCGTTTTCCAAGGCCGCTACCACAATTTTTGTATCGGGACCTAGTTTCAGCCTCTTTAATGTTTTTTTTTTCTTTCTCTTTTTACTTTTTGTTGAGCATGATCACAATTGAACCCAAACACATGGGGTATCTTAACTTGAACCCAAACACATGGGTGTTCGCTAGGTTTACATCTATTGTCCATTGTGTTTCCCATAACAATTATTGTCTACTAGCTTTTCAGCTCCCTATTGCAACAACTATATACTTTTCGCACCATTTCGCAACGCAACTCGAAACATTGTCGGTGGAATCCTGGGTTATCTTCTTTCCCCGTTTGACATGGTCGCGACCAAAGATCCGTACTAGATATGCTCTGTCCAATCCTCAACATCGCTCACCAATTCACAACCTTCTCAAAACACTGTCAACGAAATCCTAAGTTGTCCCCCTTAGTCGTTTCCCAATGTTGCTACCGAAAATCCATACCATATCTACTCAATGTTGGCAAGTTCTGTATCAGCAACCGAGTTTTGTCCGCTTTAGTGTTTTTTCTTTCACTCTTTTCCTTTTTGTTGAGCATGATCACAATTGAACCCAAATCCATGGATATCCAACCTAATTCGATCCGGTCAAAGCGACTTGAAAACGACTTTAGCATTTATAAATTTCTCTTTTTTTCTTTTGGTTGGGAAGACTATTGAACCCGAAGTAACAAGTGTTAATTTGTTAAAAAATTGTTCAAAGCGAGTTGAACACGTTGTTGAGCAGTTTTAGATCGAAAGCGAGTTTTTTATGCTTTAATGTTTTTTTCTCATTTTCCTTTTCGTCGAGAATGACAATTGACCTCTAACCCATTGTTGACGCGTTTCGTATCGAGAGCGAGTTTTATCTGCTCTTGTAATTGACAGGTTGGGTAAATTGTGACTTTGTTAAAACTAGGTCGACCCGGTCAAAGCGAGTTGATTGCAGTGTTAAGAGTTTGGGGTCATGAGCGAGTTTTATCCACTTTAGTATTTTTTTTATATTTTCCCTTTTGGTTGAGAATGACAATTGACTCCAAACACATGGGTATACAACCTAATTCGACCCGACAAAAGCGACTTGAACCCGGTTTTATAGATTTTCGACGGGAGCGAGTTTTATCTGTTTTTGTAATTGGCGGGTTGTGTCAGGTGTGAATTTGACCAAAACTTGGTTCAACCAGGTCAAAGCGAGTTGAACCTGGTGTTGACGGGTTTTAGCTTTAGTGTTTTTCATTTCGCTTTTTCCTTTTATTTGAGAAAGACAATTGAACCCAAATCCATGGGTATCCTTCCTATTTTGACATGATCAATGCGAGTTGAACCTACTCAAATTTGCAATCAGTCCAAAAATTTCATAAAGGAAAACCATGATTACCTCAAACCACCAAAAAAATAAGTCAAAAGAGTACGACTATGTTTGGTCCGAATTTTAGAAGTTTTATGTTTTAAAAGCTGAAGCCAAGCCAAAAACCTCTAAAATTTCACCTTTTAAAAAGCTAAAGTTTTTCGTAATTTAAAAGTAGAAGCTCAGATTTAAAAATAAAAAATTGTACTTACCATATATTAATCTTTTTCTAGAAAATATAATTTCTTTTCACTTATATCTTTATAAATAAAAAATTGAAAAATAGTATTATTTAATATGAAGTAAATTTAACGTAATCCATTTTAAATAATCATTTTTTAGAATTTGTATTCATAAAATCTTTTTTAGCTATTTTACATTATCTCTTATATTAGAAAGTAATTCTGATAGTTTTTCAGCTAAACACCCAACAATTTTTTTTTTAAACTACTTCTTGAAAAGATCCACAGAAGTGACTTCATTCTACATAAGTTACAGCAGGATCAACTACTAGTCATACAAATTGAAACAATAGCATCATGAAAGAAGTTTAAAACATAAATAATCTATTCGATGACCCTTCTACCTTATGTAAGTTTATCGACCATATGCTATTGTAAATAACAAACCTATAAAAAGAATGATTAATAATGAAATAAGATTACTTTCACTTTTGGGTCAACATTAAAACTATTACTCTTTAATATATTTATTTTTCTGATAGCGAGCGATTTTGTATCTATAAATCATGAAATCTCAAAGGATTTGTATACATTATAAGACGTGCACAATAAGAAGAAAAAAGACTTGCACAGTAATTTAATTTTAATGTAGAACTACGAAATAATAATGAGATAATTATTACTAACCTATCTCCGAACATGCCGTACATTAAAAAAAAATGGGGGGAAGTACTTGAGTTTCCAACAAAAATATAATCTCAAGTACCATCCTCAACCAACCAGACATTCGCAACAACACCACCCTAGCAAAGCACGTGCTAGCTAGCAGCATGTTCCGGTCGCTCCCTCAGAAGTCAGAACTGGACGTTGGATTTGAAGGACTGTCCGAAGCGCCAGTTGGAAGGGACAACATTGAGAGCGGTGCGGATCCTGCCGTTGCTGGCCTGGACCCTGAAGGACAGAGCTTGACCGTTGAGGAAGCTCAGGCTCTGCCAGTTGGATCCCCAGTTCCTGGACATCGCCTCCCACCGGTTCGTCCTCGAGCCTCGGACCCACGCCGCCGAGATCTCCCCGACTCCTCCCACGTTCGATATCAGCACCAGCTCGAAGTAGTCCCTCCCGTTGATCGTGAACCTCATCCCTCCGCTCCTCCTGCATCCCACCCTGACGACGATAATAAAACGCAAAATTTATTATCAGCCTCCTCATTCAGATTCCTGGTTCCGTCACGGTACACAGTGGCGGAGCCAGTGCATACTAAGCTGGGTCCCTGGCCCACCTTGGCTCGGGAGAAAATATGTACGCCAAAATTATTAGGATTAAAAACCGTACCAAAAGTTATATCGGACAAGTCAATGGTAGGATATTTTTATGTTGAAAACGTGGTTTCATCGTGGTTCAACCATTTCAGGTTTATTCATTATATATCGCCAAACTTTCTTTTGTTGGAACTCGCTAGATTCTTTTTATACTAATTATAAATTCAATATATGAGGTTTTAAACCTCAACTAGATTATTATATGTATACTTTGACGTGAATATAGGCTAGCTATTGTCTAAAACTATATAGAATTAGGAGTTATTTTTCGAATCATGGTAATTGAAAGAAGTAAGTTATTGTTTTTGTTTACTAAGGCTCCACTGCAAGTATTGAAATGACATTTTCAATGAGCCACGTGAAAAACTCTTTGGTATATAATGTGTGACAAAATCATGAATTATTATTTTATAAGGTATATTGACATCGATATTATATGAATGCAATTTCGTTAATATGTGAGAACACATTATGGGACACTGTAATGACTCAAATTTTTCTTGCAATATAAAAAAATTCGGACCCACCTTACATAAAAACCTAGCTACGCCAGTTTTTTTTTTTTTTTTTTTTTACCTTCGGTAGAGGATGGGGACGATCCCGGCCCTGTACTGGGCGATGGCGAGGAAGGCCGGCTGGGACATGTCGAAGTGGGGCCGGGGAGGGTTGCACCACCCGCCGTTGTCGCTTGGGAGGTTGTAGTTTGGCGGGCAGAGGTTGGTCGCCGTGATCGTAATGTAGGTTCCCCGCCGGCACCATTGGGGGACCTTGGTGCCGTCGCAGACGATCTGGTAGCAGCCGCCGCACGCCTTCCCGTCGTTGAACAGCGTCGTGCTCAGCGCGGCCGTCTTCGTTCCGTATCCGTCCGTGTACAGGTTCCCGTACCCACAAGCTCCGCCTGACGAATGAATGATCGAGATCAAATATTCGGAGTAGTGATAATATAATGATATGATAATTAATTAAATAATACGTATGTATACCCATTGTGCCGGAAGCGTCGCTTTCTCCGTAGAAAGTTGCATGTGCCCGGAGCCAAGTTCCGGAGGCTGGTATGGCTGAGGAGATGGTGAGTAGCACGAGGGAGAAGGTTGTGGCGAGATTATTAGCATTCTTCTTGCTGAAGTCGAACGACGCCATTTGGGTATGAAGATATAATGTGAGGAAGCTAGGATTGGATCGAGGGTACGTTGATATTCCAGTAGCCATTTATATGTAAAGGCAGCAATGGTAATAATTAAATTATTGCTGCATGATGATTACATGAACTTGCACCTCGATCGCAAGTGGACACATGTGATTGGGCAAATAATTGAGAATTCAAACGATGATTCCCTATTGCGTACGGTTGACCCTGAATCCGCGCGCAATTGCAATTTCCATGCAGCACTGCAGCAGCAGCGCCAAACGTATTATTATAAAAAAAATAAGGCTTTGGCAAGTTTTTCTTGTATGGCGGTGGGTGGTTATTGTAAATTTGTAATGGGATCGTACCGTAACGTGCACTAGTATGGTCGAATAGAATCAATCATAAGTCGTGACGTACGCTCGTACAGGACAGGGAGGAGAGGTCAATAATGCTTCTTCATTTCTGAATGCTGACCACCGCCGCACTATTCTTTATTGGTAATTACGACGAAGTATGAAGCACCGAAATAAGAGTGAGTTTTCAATTCCGGAATCGCGGAGAGATGGTGGGGGCGAGGGAGAAAATGGTTTGGTTGGGTGTCTCCAACTCACTGGTTCGTCCGATGAAGGATTGCCGGTTCACATGGGTCTAGGCATGGTGTCTCAGTATTTGACAATTTGCAAGGATTAATTAGGGGAGAGGAAGCTCATCACACTGGGGTGGGCATCGGTCCGACCGCACCACATCGTATAGATATAAACCGCATTGCACCGCATTCAATTGGACTGCACTGCATAAAATGTAGATCGCATGTTGGATCACAACCTTTCGGTTTATGAGATTTGGCGCAATTCGGTGTAGTCCGACCGCACCAATGCCCATCCCTAGCTCACAGAAAGCAACTGAGTATGTTGTTGTCTTTTATATAGGTTTGGTTCGATTAAGAAGGAGACTTACACGTTATGGTGACGCTCTACTTAAAACAGAGAATGAATGACAAACGAAATGTGTACAGAACGTCCACGCAAGCAAATCAAACTCATTTAGATAAACTATTAAGACGGAGAGTTTCCACAATCGGTATAGAACACCGAGTACAAAACAGTATAGACTCCCGCTATTGAGAAGACACACAATAGAGCGCTATGATCCGATTCACTCTCGTGTTATCGACTCTCAACGTTCAATTGAATATGCTCTATTGACCCGAATTATATATTCTCTCATAGGTCAAGGCAGAATTGAAAGAGTAGGATCAATACTCATGCATGCAATTCATCATAAACATCAATCAAATAGATAGTAGGAATTTTATAATCATAGGGTTCAAACAACAATCATTCTTAAACATGGAACTACAGTTCCTCACACCCAAGTGAGAGATGAACTACTCAATAGAGAAGAAAGAAAACCAAAGAGAATCAACTGTCATCATCGTGTATGACTCGCGCTATCACTACATTTAATCCCGACTAAAGACCAAGTGCAACCTATAGAGGGTGTATGATAGGGTAAGTATTTCAATATAAACTCGGGCGTTCTATCTACCATTACTTCAATTGTTCACACGGTATCTAGCAATCAATTTTGGTTAAAACTAAGGAAACTAGCTAGTAACTAAAACAAGCAAAGCAAGTAAGAAACCAAGGTTTGTCACTCTAGTGTGGTAGGTGTGATCATACACTGTGAGGAGTTTGCAATTCGATTAAGGATTGTCACAATTGGCTAGGAAATCCTTGACCTCTTAATCGATCAACCAAGGTTCGCAAAACAAATCCCTCAAAATTAATATGAAACGACAATAAGTAAGCAACCAAGATGATATCATGACACTACTTCAATGAACGAGGAATCACCTGAATTGCCCTAGGGAAGGTTACCCAAATTGACAAGATTGGGCTGCAGGGGGATTTCCTTCTTCTAGGTCAATTGTCACAAAATTGAGATATGAACAATCAACCCCCAAATTTAATGAATAATACCTCAAACATGATATAAATTAGAAACCCAATCCACATAGATTTCAATTCCTACAATCTAACACATCCTAGACTCGAGTTCACAACATCCAAGTGAAATTAGAGACTACTCCATAGCTAGAGGAGAAAACAAATACAAAGTGATTTCCTTCCTCTTAGATACATGATTCCGCCTTGGAGAAGAATACAACCTTCCTCTAACCTTGGGTAGGTGAAAATCTGCGTCCTCCTTATTTAGCTCGTAGTTCTCTCTCTAAACCTTGAAGAAGAAGCTCCAACCTCTCTCTAAGACTCCCCCCTTGAATTCAGTTAACTCTTACTTTTATTGTCCCCGAGTGCATGAATCACGATCTAAGATCAGGCCCATGAAGTAGACAAGGGAACCATGATCTCGGCACAAACCACACTGTATCACTTACAATCTTCACGGGTCGCTTGCTAATATCATGGTCTACGACCGTGATCCTGACACTACACACGAGCTGTAGAGATCTCCTTGGAACCTTGCAATATACATGGACTGGGTGTCGTCTTCACGGTCTGTGCCCGTGATAATTCCTCCTTAACCGTGATCTTCGCATCTTTGACAATTTTGCTCCATTCTCGCCCTCTTTTGTCCGACTTTCGATCCCGGTGCCAATATTACCTGCTTAGGTCTATAATATGACAAAACACGAACACAATTAGCACAAAATAACTCCTAGGACCGAGTAAACCAAAAAAAATGACATAAGTAATGGGGTGTACAATGTATAATCTTTACTGAATCGTTGTAGAGGTTGGAAACCAGCTTTTCTTCATAAATTGTCACTCATTAATGCTTGGGTTGAGATTTAATGGATATTGGGAGGCTCTAGGAAACTCCAAGGAAGAAGTCCTCATCAATTATCTCTCTACGTTCTTTCTCTATTCGATTATCCTCTTTTTTGTCTGACTCACGGTCTCAAGTCACAACCGTGACATCGTCCTAAACTGCACTTTATCATCCCGCTGAAGTGAAGTAGTCATGGGTAGGGAAATAATGTCACGACCATCGTCGTGGCGTGTGAATGGCTAAACATGACTTGTGAAATTTCGTAGATGTTGTGGAGAGTCACGAGCTTGTTGTTTAATGTCATTTCCAAGGCTGTGACTTTTGACCTTTTGTTGCCTTTGTCCTGATTTGCCTCCAAATGTCACAAAAATCGTTCTTATTCCACAATAATGTAATAATGTACAAGGATCTGAAATATCACAAAAGATCACAACCTAGTGTAAATTAGGCCAATGAACTTCTCTAACCAAGATAAAAGGTCCAGAAATGAGGATGTAAATATGTGTAATTATGCCAGTATTATTTGCAATTCAGTCAAACCTGTAATTCCCAATTTGAATAGAAGCCTCTTGACTCGAAACCTATCTGTCTCCTTAGTGAAAAAATGTGCTACTTGATAACTTGTCCAAACATGTTGCAATCTAATCAGTAGTAAATGAAGGTTGGGAAGCAATATCCTTGCCTCACTTACACAATTTCTAGTATTCACTCCTTTCCTTAGGGCAGATCTAAAGCAATAATCCGAAGTTACTACAGGTTTCCACAACATGTGAGATTTTGAAAAGTGTAGGCCTCTCGACTTGAGCAGAAGAAACAGTCTCTTATGTATCAAGTCCCATGAGGAGGAGAGCTGTAAGGGAGGATGGAGAGTACTAGGTGAATTTTCGAAAACATATCCTTATTTTATTTTTCTTTATATATATAATAGATGGGAGCGAGTTATAATCAATTTTTTGATTCACGGGTTGGTTGAAAATTTTGTTAAAACTCAGTCCATTTTCAATCCGACTTGCACCATAAAAACAAATTAATGTTAAATTTTCAGAATAACTTACTCTCTTGACCAAGGATTGGTTCGCACTAGACCAAACTGACGCTTGGATGGGATCACACCAAACCGAACATAATATGGCCCCGTCCTTGGTCTGTGAATTTTATAAACAATGAAGAAAAATGGACTGAATTGACATTTAGACCGGACCAAATCACACAGAATTCATTGTCGGTTTGGTCTTTAATTCTAAAATGTTTTTCACTATATTGGACTGTGTTTCTCCTAAATTTGGTCACGCCCGGTACGGAATGTTGCACACCCCTAGTTTTGTGTTAAATGAATTATTTTTTGTTGAATGATTTATTATTTTGTTCATTTGAAATAAAAGCCAAGGTAATTTTTTATAGTTTATTTAATTTATTATATTTTTTATTAATATTTTTATACAATGTAATATCCACGTCAGCAATATAGGCAAACTCCTTCATGGTCAGCCATCTTGACCGTCTAACTTCATGATTTTAGCCAAATTAGTCTTTATGGACATTAGTTTAAATCTAGATAGACATTTTAGAAAAGATTGCCCAAGTTAGACATTGAGAGTAAAGTTAAGATCATTTTAAAGTATTAATCCTGCTTTTACAATATGATAACACATTGTACGTAGTGTAAACATTTTAAAATATAATATAATGTAAACTATTAACCCTACTTTTAAAATATGATAACACATTGTACATAGTGTAAACATTTTAAAATAAAATATAGTGTAAACAATTAACAAAATTTATTTTTTTTTTCGTTGAATCAGTTGCTCTTTATTTCCAGAAAAGGTAACCGATACAACGAGGCGAAACTCCAACGATGAGTTCCGGTATGCTAACTATAAACTACCTGCTGCATTACAAAGGTCAACTTACTCTTAGCAACCTATAAGCACTATAAAGTTCTAGAGCAGTAAAACTCAAAAACTGAAACCTATAAGTATCTAAGGTGTGATAAAGTATCTCGCAACCCTCTATTGCCATAAGAAATGAAACTTAGATCAGCCCTTATAAGATCATCCACATTTGCAGGACTTCGACACGTTTGACCATGAACCACGCGGCACCTCTCTTTCCAGATGAATGAGACTGCGAGGCACCAAAGCAAAGCATGACAATGGCCGTATCTAGTGTCCTTACGGGTTGCCTCAGCGACAGCAGCAAGCATCATGTCCCACCC